GTTTGCCTCTGAACCTGCCTCTTCAATGGAAATGAAGTTAGCTTACCATCTTACAATTGGTTTCTGTGGAGATGGGCATGTCAGGAAGCTCAAACAATGAACTGATTTGAAAACTTAGAGGCTTCTAAGAAACCGTTGGCCAGTCAGAAGAAGTCAGTGTTTGATAAGTACATACCCTAGCAGACCCCAATAAAAGAGGGGACAGAATCAACAGCAGAACCACAAGTACAGCTGAGCACTCTTCTATCAGCACTAGAAGAGTAATCAAAGAAGGAGTGATTGGGGGGGGGCAATAAAAGTCAGTTATTAGAGGAAATGAAAGGCGGCATCACAGAGGAAATCCTTCAAGTGTCCAAAGTCTTCTGCAAAAGATGAGAATGAAAAGGAAGAAGCTAGACACTGGGGGTTACAAGTTCAGAGAACTTGGAAATATCAGTATCTATTAACAGCATCACTCTGCAATGAGACAAGTGAGAGTAGCTGGTAGACTTCAAGTGCAATGCAAAGGACTTGATTTTGATACGACAATGAAAAGTCCTGTGGTTCTTTGAGGAGCAGTGTCATGATAAAATAGTGCTTAATAAACATTAACCTAGAGTTTAGAAAAGCCAAGCAAAAATTTCTAATAGAAAAATCATAATCACAATGCATCTTCCAACCATTCTTCACTGACTCATAAAACAGCACAGGTTTCTCTACTGGGGAGACCCAGGGAGACCTGGGTCATGAAGGGGTAAACATTGCCACCAAGAGCTCTTTTCCCCAGGCTGCTACTAGGGAAGGACAACCCGCCCTCCCTGGTGTAATCCTGGTTCACTTTATTTATTTTGTATCTGTCTAATTTATCTTACATGTAGTACAGTAACTCTTTCCCAAAGCAGGCAGTTTCCTACAGCATAGATAGGTAGATAGAAAAAAATAAAATAATAAAATCTATTCTTGGAGAGAATTTTGAGGGAGGAAAAGATGGAATATCACCACTGGCCTGACTTCTTCTAAAGGATACAGATGAATTTTAAATGACATCTGTTGGCTGTAAGCCGTGTAGCTTTTCAAAGCTAAACAGATGTAACTAACCTACATTGTTCGATTTGCTTTGTTATTTCATAGGACGTGTGTGAGAGTGTATTTTTCTATGCTAAAAGCAGAGACCTGGAAAAAGCTTGATAAAAGCCAGTCCTGTGTTTTATATGGCAGGAGAAGAAACCCAGTAAACACACACACAGCAGATACTTCCTTTTGTGGACAGCCTGAAGATTTCCCCTTCATGCACTGCTTAGAATAGCCACTACACGCCTCTTCCCATTGTCCTACACACAGAACCAATACCCCACAGCCACTGTCTTTCTTTTCAACACCTGATCATCAAGAACATATAGAAGATTCATGTTGTGGTGAAACGTGTCAAGTCTGACAGCTCAGGCCCCAAGAGCTCTGTTTATGTACATAACAGGTGTGTGGCCAGGCAGCTGGGGTGAGATCTCCCTCCACCTTCTCATTTCTGTCTTCTTGGCTCCCATCCCTCCCACTGCTTCCCTCTGGCTTGGGGAAGAGAGCAGCTCTGGAAGAACCTTCATTTTCAGGCTGTTTCCTTTTGCCAGAGATGACTGGCTGACTCTCAAGGCTGCAAGCATTTGACCACTGCAAATAGAATTGAGCATGTCAACTCATTTTATTCACCTCCCTCACCAGGGAATCAGAGAGCCAAGGACACACTGGTGATTTCCCTGGTTTTATGGATCTTTACTCCCCCCGGGGCCTGCATCACATTTTTGGTTCTTGGGTTCACAGTGTCCTGGCATCTGTAGTGTGGGAAATCTTAACAGAGAGCCAACAGTTCCACAGCTTCTCCCTATTAAAATGTGCAATTGGATTTCACATGTGTGTTTCAAACACCACTCAAGGCGTGATTTACAGGCTACTGTTCTAGCCCCACAGCTGTTTTTCTAGCCCCAAGACTTAGCCGTTTCTAGGAATCCACCACTCAGCTCCCTAGCAAATAAGTCTTCCCAGTTTTGACCTCCACAGTCATTTTTGAGCATCTCCAATTATGGAAGATCTACAGTAAGGATTTAAGAGACTTTTGATTAGATGAATAAGCCATTAATCATTCTTTCCCTGGGATTATTTATTCATGAGAATAACCCATTTGATGCTTCCTTTCAGTTTACCCCACTCTCTAATCAAGTTTTTTTTTTTTCATTAAATTAAATGATTCACACGGCTGATCTGTTCATATAGATTATTTATCTACATTTAAAAACAGCACAGGATGGGCCCTCCCTGGTGGCACAACAGGTTAAGGGGCTACACTGTGAAGCTAGCATCAGCCACTTCAGCATGAGTTCAATCTCTGCCCCGGAGGTGACCCAAAGGGCACAGCAGACCTCTCCTGACCCGCCCGCTGCTCCCCTCAGCAGTGTACTTCATTGATCTGCCTATTCTGCTCCCTTCTGTCTCAGGTGAATCCTCTCACTGCCCCTGAGCCTCTGGCTTGTACCCCTGTTCTGTATGCACAAATAAATAAATCTTTAAAAAAATAACAGCACAGAATGAGTGATCTCTGTGTAGGTTTCAAAACACAGTTGCCACCTGAGGCCACAACAGTCACTACATTCTTCACAAGGGGAGAAATACTTTTATGTTGTAAGTTATCTCCCATGGCTGAATAAAGACAGACTCTATGTTATGCACTCACTGCATCACACACTGCATTTTACACACTCCTCATGCTTCACTGTGTTCTAGTGTAACTCAGTATTGTGTCAAACTTTTGTTACCATCTTCCCCAAGGTCCTACTCTTGTCTGGTTTCTAAGAATCTGAAATCCCTCCCTAAAGATGAGGCCTCAGACTTGGGTCTGTGATTATTTCAGAAGCAGGTGCTGATAACAGCGTCTGAACATTTATTCTAAGTTGTTGGAGGGAATCCCCTGCCTTCATGGGTACTTCTCCCGGGCAGAGGAACCCCCTAGGCAGGCTGGACATGGAGCTGACTGAGTTCAACTCATCGTATGCTGAGTGCTCGGGAGGAAGATGGTCTATGCGCTGAGTGGGGTTAGGGTTCTCTTGTCTTGTAACTGCGACCTTCCAAGGGAAAAGGATGAGAGCAAAAGAAGGAACAGAGGAACAGGTCGTAGGGTAAATCTTTATGAGAAGTGGTATCTGGATGAATCAGTTTTATCCAAAGGTCTCCACAGGTGTAGCTTCCACTTCAGATGAAAGCAATTAATTAAAACTCATGTTAATACAGATGCCAAATTACATTTTGCCCTCTGTTGCAAGATACTACTCTCTCAAGGTACACGGGGGTTGCTTTCTATGTCCTTTGGCTGGTGTAACTTTGAGGCTCTTAAGTTTCCTGGAAAACAACAGCAACATAGCTTTTCCCTCTTTACACTTAAAACAACTACACCACAGTGAAGGCAGTGCTTACTGCACTCTAAGCCACAGTCACGACCACAAGTCTCCTTTAAGACACAAGTCCTTTAAGACAGGAATGCCAGCAAGGAGCCCAGGCGTTAAGACAGTTTCTGATTTGCAAAGTCAGGGCCCCCAAAAAGGTACTCCATGAAGGCAGTGTTCAGTCTCAGGACTTACCTTTGTTTGTCCTCCCACAGCTGTCTTCTTACAGAACTCATGAATAAAGATGACTCGTTTACTCTTTGGATAATCTGATAATTAGACCATGTTGACATGTTGGGCTGTCAGGTTACCTGAAGAGTCTCTCTTTTTAAACCCTTCCATTAAAAATAACCCCAAATTCATTCTTGTTACAAGTAGCACAAAAGGCCAGATTTACAAGCATAAGGTGAACATTGTAACTATAAAAGGACTATGTGTTAAATACCTACTATGTGTCAGGTGCTGCAGTAAACAATTTACATAATTACCTTTTCTCACCAATCTCTCAAAATAATCAGCTGAGGCGGGTATTATTACCCAACTTCATAAAGGGGAGTATAGGAAACTAAGAGGAGCCGGGAAAACACAGCTAGCCTTGAGAGACGTAAGAATCAAATCCAGGCTTTTGTTGTAATGAAACTATGAACCTTCTAGTCTACTAAGCTCCTTCCCAAAATATAACAACAAAGCTTGGACACAGTCCATTCCCTGACCTGGGAAGAATTGAAGCTGGTGGCAGTTAACTGGTGACTAGAGTTGCTGCATAAGGGATTCAAACAAGAGAGGGGGTGGATGAGAGCAGCCTGAGATCTTTAACCTCAAGAACCCTAAATACTCAATTCTCTGATCATCCAGGCAAGCCGAGTAATCAAACATTTCAGTTTCTTGGTCTTATCAAAGCAATAAGCATCCTTTGTTCACAATGCCACATCTGCAGGCACTGAGACCTGTCTCTCTCTCTCCCCTACAGCTCTGGTTACATTGCCAGGAAGGGGACCCCTTACACAAATTCCCATTTATCTTCTAAAGCTCCAAAATCAGGCACCCTCCTCCTAACTGATGTTTCCTTGACATCCTTCAGCTCTCGAAAGAAACCATTGCATTATCTCAACGTCATCTTGTGACCCAACGGAACATACTTACCCTGCACCCATTCATCCTTTTCATTCCTATTCTGACTGGTGTAGCATTAACTTTCACCACTAGAACACCAAATATTTCAAAGCACATATTTTTAAGAGAACAAAACAGACAAGAAATACATAAATAAGTAAACCAAATACATAAATAAATATGCCTGGCACCTCATCCATTTTCTTGCTCACAACCACCATCAGTCTCCAACAAGAATCCAGCACACACACGTTCTGGGGCCACAAGCAACACTCACCACAGCCCCCGATAGACATGCTCTGCGTTCACATCACGTCCCCCATCAATTTCTACCCTGTCAACCTTTCCTCGTTTCTTCCTTCATGTGACCCATCATGTTTTCATGCAAGAGTTTTCTCTAGAAAGAATGACTGGCAATTAATCCCAAACCCCAGCCCACCTCACCCATGAGTGGTTAGCCAAGGCTGAAAAATTCGTCTTTACCATTGGAGTCTTCTACTTCTTCAGTCGGAGTAGCTTTTTGGGAGGGGTGGTGGGCGTGTGAGGAGAGGAGACTGACAACGCGTGGCCTGGGTAGGGTCAGGGCTTTCCCGTGGACCTTGAGGGAGTGTTCCTTCAATTGGCTGATTGTCATGGTGGAAAAAGAGCACCAAGAACACTTGTAGGCATGTTCACCTAGAAGTGCAGGAACAGACAGGAAGAAGAGGAAAGAAGGGCGTGAGGCAGGTAAGCTCACCTGCAGCTGACCTTGTGGTCCAAGAGTCCTCACAGACCAGCTCCCACCCATTCTTATGAAACCTCAGCAACCCTCTAACACGGAAACCCTTGGGACAAGCTCCCAAGTCAAGAGACACAGCACCTTTCTGTTTCATGTTCTGCTTACAGGGATAAAGCTATGGTTGACTCCCTTACAGAGCGTGAAACCACATGTCTACTATGCCTCCTGCAGGGAAACTTTCCAGTCTTTCTTTATCCTTCTCTATGGTAGTAATGGCCATTCTGCTTTTATTAGGTTTGCTTCTTGTCATTCACAGAAAATAGTATGCTTCATTTTTTTCTACCAGTCACTCATCAGAAACTCTAATTTGTTAATCTAACCTCATTCTTTACTTTCTTGTTGGCTACATATCCCCTTGATTCCACCTTACTGTGTATTTCTAGAGGACCTGTTCACATACCTCAGCATAAAACACCATTTTTTTTTAATCTAATCAATAGTGCACAGATGGGTACATAGACATTTATTTAACTGAGAATTGAAAATGTATACATGTGTGTCTCTATTATACTTCAATGAATGAGATACTTAAGTAAAAATAAGCACCTTTCTTCTACATATTTTTATGACACTGAAATTTAAGTACATTGCTAAGACCAACATAAATTTAGAAAATGACTTACCTTTGCCCTAAGTCAGTTTTTGAATTTATTGTATTTCTTTAAGAAGCAAGGGTGAAGGGCATGCTTATGCTGCTGGACAGATAGACTGGGATGAGTAATTTAGAAAGAATTTTGCTTTTTCTAGCACTGGACCTAGAATGTTCATGCCTATAGCTCAATAATTTCTACTTCTGAGGCTTCATATTATGGAAATGTCCTTTATATGCAAAAAGTGTTCTTTAAAAATATACATTATTCATGCTTAAGAAAGTTATGAAAGAACCTATATTTCTAACCATAGCAAAATGGTTGGGATATCTTATGGATCAACTATCATTCAATACAATAAGATTTTGCAGAGTTTGTGAGAGGAGAAAAAAGAAAAAGTATAAACCAATACTCAGGAAAAATAGAAAAGCATAATAAAAGTTAGATTAAATTATAATCACAATTGCTAAAAATAATTATAGAGGACAATATTCAAAGGTAATCTGAAATGTAACAATAGTGGTACTTAAATAATGAAATTATGGATGACTGACTATGTTGCCTGCTTATTTTCAAATGTTCTCTAACGAACATCTTTTTTTAAAAATGCATTTGAGGTGAAATTTAAAAAGCAGAGAAGGAAGTAGAGGAATAAGAGGAGAAAGGCCTTCAGTATAAAAATGTTTTAGATGGGTGAAAATGAACTGTAGACAGAGTTGGCGGTCTACAGATTTAAGTGAAGCAGAAATCAGAAAGTAAGCCTGTGCTCTTGCACAGGGGAAACTCCCTAGTCTCTACATAACAAAAAGGGTTACCTTCTGCTGCCTTGAAGATTATTACATGGCTTTACGTGGGAAGGGAGCTCCACACCCTAAATTTTACATTAAGCCTGCTTTCACCACTGGTGGATCATGCATTTTTTCTTTTAAAGAAAAAACTCTGAAGAGACTAATGGAAAACCTTGAGTGAGGCAGTACTCTTAGCCTAAGGACTTCCTCTAAGAAGATCCAAATAAATACACCAGTCAGCTGGCCCCACCCATT